CCAAAACCCCGCCAGACACCAAACCACCGCACTAATGTTAATGACTATCTCTTTGGTCTACTGTAAATATAAAACATTAAACAGTAAACATTTTTTTTTTAAAGAACTTTTGCAGCATTGCAATATACCGAACATTTAAATAAACTATTGCGCTGTTTGATTAAGAAAATCAGTGCTTCTTTAAAGGCTAATAATTACAAAGTACTAGAAAACTGTTAGTTCATGTATTTCCAGACAAATTGCATGTTCGCCTAACCTTGTTACCCATTTGATTTAGGTCAGAACTTTCATTTTCAGCTTTGAACAGATTGAACTATCCCATATGTAAAACTTGTCTGAAATCCTTTGTTTTTGTATGTGACTGTGGCAGCTGAGCTGTTGAACCCTGAATGAACAATCATGGAACAAGGACCTTAAATGAACACAATTTATCAAATCTCGTTTTGCATCACATATATTCGTGTCTAAAGTGACACGGTTGCATTTTACTCACGCCCCATTTTTATTCTCCAGCACAAGTCTGCAGCAGAAAGGGCTGCTGACCTGGTTCCCAGGTGTCCCCTGACTCTTCTCAGATGCTGCTAAGTTTCTCTCCCCACCCTTATTCCAGCCAGTCACTGCCTTATGCTTCAAAAAAACTCATGTTGTCAGACATATCCCAACCTCTTTAGAGCATCACAGAGCAGTGAACAGGATTAGCTCTCTGAGTAAAACAGCTGTGCTTCTGTTTCACAGTCAGTGTAGTAAAAAATATTTTGTAGCTCAGCTTGTAATAACCAGAAAACTCCCTGCTCATCTTTCCTCTGAATGTTCCTGTGGACTAACCAGGGGTGTCTGGATGGGAGTACCTGCCCATGTTGTAAGCTGGCAATCTTAGGCAGTTTCACAATGTTTTCACTGCTGCAGAGGACATGCTCCAGATCTTCAAGTGTGATCTTGAGGACTCTACTGAAGAGACAGCATAGACTTAGCCTGAGACAGTCTCTTTTCCGAAGATGTCCCACAGAGACTCACAGGAGAAGAGATGGCAGGCTGTATCTGTTGCGGTTGTGCACCTTGCTTTCTCTGGGTATTCCAATACTGAGAGAAAATTTCTGGCTGCATATTTTGGAAGTCAGGAGCTCTGTTTGCATGTTTGCAAATTTGCACATTAAACCGAACAGATATAAAGCTTGAAAGATGACTCCTAAAGTATCTTCCCTGGCCCTGCAGTTCCCTCCTCTGTCCAAGGAAAATATTCAGACTATCTGAAAAGCACAGGTGTCAGAGATGGGACCACATCCCTTTTTTCTAATTCTTAGCTGACTTCAGGACTATGTTCTTGGTAACTGAACTCTGACACCAAACAGAATGGTTTCTGTTTAAATGTATACACATACTGACTGGTGTGTATGTGCCAGCCAGGAAGACCTATGCAATTAACCTGTGAGATACCTAGTTAACATGAAGATGAACTGCTTTATGGTTGTGACACTCTATTGAATGTTGTTCTGAACAATGAAATGCCACATGCCACTTCATTCTTAACACAAAAGGTTTTATGAAAAGATGATGTACCTGACAAGAGTACAAACAGAAAATTAATGTGGGTGTCTTCCTGCAGATTAAGGGTAGTTCAGGAGCTGTTGTAGCTCCTCCAGTTCTGGAGTGAAGTTAATACATTTTAGATTATACAGATATCCTGTGCTAAATGTTTGGTTCATTGATGATCAAAAGCAAACCTCTTTCTTTCTTTTGTGTGGGGGGTCCTGAGGCCAGTTTTATGACTCAATCGTTAAATGTCTGTTGAGTTTTTTTTTAAAAAAAATTAAAAATCTGATAAACTATTTTAAATGCTGCTTGGACAAAGATCAAGAGGCTAATTTTGATTGGGCTGATTATCACTAAAGTTGCAGCATAATGTCTGAAGTTCAGGTAATAACATAAGATCAAATGTGTCAGAGACTGAAATTTGTGTACCAAAAGATGATTAGAAAAATGTCATTTAAATCCAAAACCAAGTTTCTTGCTGGGCTTTTGGTAATATTTACCTACTGTAAGCTACCCTCTGAAATTTTGAGTTGCCTGAATCACATACCAATTGATGATCTAAATGTATATCTTGATTCTCAGTACACTAGGGTACTTGATGGCCTCTCTGAAATTAATCAGTGGTCTTATTCCACCACCCAGAGGACACCACAAAAATGCCAGCAAAACTAATCGGAAGTGGCAGTCTGTTGTGGCATTGGAGCAAAGAATCCTGTCATAGCATGGATGTGAAGAATGATCATTCTTAAAAGAATTTCCTTATGCTTTTGTTAAAACATTTTGCAGTGAAAATAAGTTTCTATTGCTGCTGCTTTGGTTTTGTGAAAAGCATGGAGGTTAATGTTCCATGCTATAAATTTGGTCTTACTTGCTATCAGTATTTACTTGGTATCTGTATTTGCTCTGACCTAGGCTGTGGCCTCCAGCAGCTAAGGTCTGAGTGCCTCCAAATCTTCTGCATGATTTGCATAAAGACAATACAGATTTACAAAAAAACCTGTGATGATGACAACAAAAAGAGCAGGAGTAGGATGTTCTAAATGGCAGTAGCAAGAAGAAATGGAAACAGTGTGTCAGCCTTAAAGCTGCTCCTCACTGTTACCCTGATAGGGCTACATGCAAGAGCAAGCTTCTCAGTTACCTTTGGTTCTAGCTTCCATGAAAATGCCAGGAAAACAATCTGGAAACTATGTTGGTCTGCAATCCAGTTGTGAAACTGCAAGAAATGCTAATAAAACCCTTGTGTGGGAGATGCTGTTTACTGTGGGACATCTTGGTCTTGGAGTTAGGTCCATACTGCAGGAAACAGCAATGACTGGAAAATATGTACTAGCAAGGCCTACTAAGTGGTATTTACCCAATATCTGCAATAACTTTAAATAATGAAAATATAATAAGGTAAAAGTGGGTCTTTGTGTACTGCTCTTTCTCACAGAATGCTAACTTAAATAATTTTTCATATTGAATTTTTCTTTTGCAGCACGACTTCCACTGTGTTTTACTGAACTTAAAATTACTCACATCCTCTTATCTTTTCTGTAAATTTTCCTGCCTCTTTTCTTGCAGTAATGGTTGGTAGTGGGTGGATGGAAATGGCTGACGGGAGGATAACAGTTATATGAACAATATTCTGATTCTTTAATCTGTGAATCTTGCTTATAAAATCAACTTGACTGTGAAACAGATCCTGCTGTGCCAAAAGAAACTTTCATTTTAAGGTATCAACATGTCTGCAACTACTCATTTGCTCCAGACTGCTTTTGCTTTCACAGGTCTTACCCCTTCTATACATTTATCTAATTACTTCATTAGAAATGCTGATTTGATAAGTTATAATCTATGTGCAGCATTAAAACTGAAGAATTACTCTCCAGGGAATGACATGATCACTTTATGCCTCATCAAAGACCCTGCAATCATTTAATCAGCCATAACCTCAAAAGCCATCCATTTATAATCTGCAGTCTGTAGATGTAATATATCTATGTTTGGTAGTACCTATAAATAATGTTTAAATTATTGTTTGTTTACCGGCCGGGGCTATGTGCAAATCATTAGTATCAATCACGTATGTACACTTATTTAGCTTACTCTCATAATTGTAGTCTCCTTGCAAATCTTTTCCATTCTGAATTCAGATGATGCCTCAGCTCCCGCGCTGGAGACTCAGCCTCAAGGTGATGAAGAAGGTGAGCATCAATGGGAACTTAACAGTGCGATATTAAACTATGTGGTATGGACTGTATACTACAACATCAAATGCTACCTTAAGTTAGGACAACTGCTGGGGCAGTCGCAAGAAATTGCAAGAAATGGAAAGCATCTGTACCTTTTTCCTGATAAAGACAGCAAGCACAATAGACTCTTTACTTACAAGGAACAAATTTCATGTGATAGTTTTGAGATGACACTGTAGCCATGGAGTCCCATATTAGCAATTTTAATTGTCACTACTCAGAGCAGGGACAGCTTTTAAACTTGAGCCAGAATGCAGATTAAAAGTCTATGTCCAAATAAGGAAGTTACAGGGTAAATTCAGTCCTCAGCATATTGCCTAGTAACATTAAGGTTGATGTTTTGTCAGGCTCATTTGCCTCTGGGGAAATTTGGTGCTTTGTAAATGGAAAGCCACATGCAATGATAGTCCTGTATTGTGGCTGCCTTACCACTCACTATGCAGAATCCGATCCAACATTATATTTTGGGTCCACCCTGGGAGATTTTTGTTCTGATTAAACATAATTTTAGTCTAAAAGTATTTCTTTCAACCTTTTGTATGAATGAGATAAGGAAGGAACTATTAATGCCTTTGCATGAATAAAGGCTTTAACTGTCCTAATAAAAACCAGTATGCTCTTTTCTTTTTTAGGTCCTTGTATGTTTAAAACTAGCCACTTAATATTCAGCTACTAGTAACTTTTAAAAATATGTAACATTTACAAACTTTTTTTTTGATTTTTTTTTTTTTCTAGATATAGCTTCTCGTTATCCTACTTTATGGACTGAGCAAGTAAAGAGTAGACAGAACAAAACCAATAAGAGCTCAGGTAAGAAACTTAGGTTGTCCTTACTTTGCAGAGCTCCTGTGAAGACATGCATTTAGCCTTGTTAAAACTGAAGCCATTTAAGTGAAAGCCATTTTAATAATCATTATGCTTCCACTCTCATTATATGATAGTGACTTATTTGCATTGTGCTGGTTTTGTAGGCTCATGCATCAAAAGTTCCTTTTATATGGAAATATTTTTGGCCAGGCTTTACTAGATGTAAACTGATATTACTCCACTATAGTCTCTGGCTCACATCTGTTTGCATCTGTGATATCTACTTATGTTTTCTTCTTTTGCTGATGTGCAGCAAGAAGGTCCTTGGAGAATGACAGTGTGGGTTACACTGAAGTTTGGTGGTAAATCTTAGGAGGCAAACCTGAAAAGCAGAAAACCCATCAGAAATCAGTTGTCAGTAAACAGGAAATTGGAAAGTGTTACCTGCTTTTTGCTGCATCACAAACTCAGTTGTTTACAGACTGATCAGCAGTTTTGTGTGAATTTATTTTGTTACCTTTTTTATAATTGTTGAATTTTGGCTTTACTTTTTTTCACCAGTCTTCAGAATTGAGCTTTGTGAACTTGGACTAGGAATGTCAGGTGAATGTCCTAAGACTGAAGCCTCTAAAATACTCAGATACAGTTGGTGCTTTGGTGGACTATAAGTTTTGCTGCCTTCCTCACTGTTCCTTCCTTTCAGTGGAATAAACTTTAGAGAATTTTCCTCAGGTTCCTGGTTTCTTTTTCTCTGGAAAAATGTTTAATTTGAAAGGAAACGTTAATGGTACAGTCTGTGATTCAGTAAATCACCCAAAAGCACATTTCAGATCCAGTGGAAGTTGAGGTTGTGCTTTATATTAAGTATTGTGCTTCAGTATTTTACTGAGTGGAGGCCCAAAAGGATTTAAAAAGACAAGCAATCACTATCAGAAAGACAGACAGACATATCCTTACTAAGAAGTTTACAAGGTCCTTTATATAAGCTATTTTTAACATCAAAGCAGTAATTATTAGTAATTTTTCCTCTCCTTCGTTCTCCAGCAGGCATTTAATGGAAGGACCTTAAACAGAGTGTAGACAAGAGTTAGAAGCAAACACTTTCCATGCTGGAGATTTGTTCTGTCATTTGTTTGGTCAGTGTTAGCAAGAACAGAATTCCTTTGGGCTTTCTGTCATGTAAAATACGTGTATAGAAATATGTCACTTTTAGGAGTGTTTATTTAATTTTTACAGTGCTAGAGACTAGATCTAAAGCAAGAATTCTTGAGTTTGCAGTGCAGCTGCTCAAAACAAAAGCTTCAACACACACACAAAAAAAATAGGAAAACACCAAAGAAAAGGTGGTTTTATTACTGGGAACTTGTAACCTCCAATCCATCTAAAAACATATTTACAAAGGAAGACAAACCAGAAGCATAGTCTACCTGTGATATGATTGCTAGCCCATGGTGCATTAGCATCAAAAGCACAATTGTGTTGGATTTGCTGACAAAAGGACTTTCTCACAGCTGTACTATGTACAGGGGATCTCTGGAGGGCTTGCAGATGCTACAGTCTGTGGTGCCATACCCAAACTGGCAGAAGTAAGTCAGCAGACACTAAGTAGCCAGCTTTGCTTTAATATGTAGGCATACCTGATACACCAGAAGGGACCACTGCTCTCTCTGGTGTAAATTCTCTTGTATATCTAATACGACAAGATCAATCAGGATGAATCTAGGTGCTAAAAACAGTGTCTTCACCAGTTGTGCTAGACAGTATCTCTCTTCTGGAACCCAGAGTATAATGTGTGTCACTGACTGTATATTTATAAGTTGTTTTGATGGTTGAACATCACTGATACTCAGTAAAAAAGTCTTCTAAGGTCTAGAAAAAACTAGGTTAGATTTTCCCCTTATTATCTCTCAGAATGGTGCCAAGGCTTTTGGGAACATCCACAGAGAATAAAATCTGGGCTGCTACGTGTACAGAATAGGACCTTGTGACTGAATCCACCGGACTGTAAACTAAACACCTTTGGAGACCCAGGCTTCGCTATGAGGGATGAATACAGATGTCTTTACTTAGTTTGCATAGCAAACTCCAATTCAGACTTGGTCATACAAACACCAGAAAGTTTACTGAAATGTATTTGTCTGAGTAAAATGAGGAGAACGTATGTCTGCATATGAACTGTGTGTATAAAACAAAAGATGAAACCAAATTTATTAATAATTGGCTAATTTTTCATTTGTTTTTTCAAAGAAATTCTTCAGGTGCAAATAGCATTATGACCTAGCTCTGCCTCTAGAATGCTAAAAATTTCAAGCAAACTCCAAATATCCTACTTAAAATGTGCCTATTTTAGTCTGTGTTTCTTTTATTTTTTCTAGCTTTTACCCGAATATATGTCATAATATGTCACGGTCAACAAGTCATGGTCATAAAGAAACTTGTCTTGACCTGAGAAAGCAATCTTCTTAGGAGAATGTTTTGTGTGAGTTAAAGATCACAAATTAAAACATTAAATTTATTCTACTCATCCTGAAGTAGTTTGTTTTCGCTACTCTGCAGGTGGTCTGCCAGTTACAATTAGCCAATAAAATCAGCATAAGCTTTTAGTTTTTGGAAGACAGAAAATAATGGCTCAGGAAATTCTAGTTTATATTAGTTATCCAGTGCTTTCATTTGATTAAATCAGCCTAAATTAATTTAGCTCAGAGTAATGGCATTTGGGAGATTTACAGATGAAGGGCATGAAATTACTGGATTATGTATCTGTGCTCTATAATGATTTCTAGCGCATATTCTTTTTGGTGGTTCAGAGCAATAGACCTGCTCACTAAAGGCATTTGTAGAGTGGTGTTTAACCTATTAGCTTTTGATGACAAAATGTTACTGCTGGCAAAAACCCCATCAACATCAGGTCATGTAACAATGCCTCTGTTTAGAGTGGTGGATTTGGGTAGAAACGTCTCCGTTTTATCGCTTTTTGTATCAAAACAAAATTTGGAGCTTCTAAACCCCCGTGTTTTCTCATGTTCCTCACCGAGGTGGATTTTTTTTAAATTTTTTTTAAAAGATGACTTCTTTCCAGAATTAGGAAAAAAGTATACAACTGGTTGCTAAAATAACATAGTGTTTGCTGAGATTATGTTTTATACCTATACCTTGGTGCCTTTGCAGATATTTGCTAATATTTTGTTTCTTCTGGATTTTTTTTACCTCTGCATTCCTCATTTCTTCCTCCATTTCTCAAAAATGTTGTTAGTTTCCCACATCAGATTGACAAAAATAAGAATTATAGTAACAGCTATCAAAATTAAACAAAAACGCATTGAAAACACTGAATGTGGGACTATATTGGTTCTGATTAAGACATCAAAATGTAGCAGCCTACACACTGCTGCCTGTATGTGAACTCAGTGTCTAAACTCCTGCTGTAGTTTGTGGAGATGCAGTCAGTGTGGTCAGTGGAGCCTAGAGAGCAGCCCACCTCATCGTAAAGCTGACACCTCCACTTGGTCAGCTAACTAGATAACTGGACCTCACTAAATGCAGTGACTAATTTTGATCTCTAGTCTGTATGAAGTTATCTATGCTTTAGATTAACTTTATCCCACTCCAGTATTAATTGAAAGTCCAGGTAGTATTCTTTTAGAGGTTTTGTATTTTGTAAAGACCAGAACACAGGAGGTTTCTTGCCTGAAGGAATGATATTTTGGACCTCAGCACTTCCCAGTTACTGTAGCTTCAGGGCTAGGTGCAACCTCGATATGGGTGGAGAACACTACATAGTAGTGCGAATACTTTCCCTTCACCTAACAGGGAAAATGCAGTTCCCTGAGGTGAATTCAGGTTGGACTGTAGATCTCTTAGGTTCTTCGTGTTGCATCTGCTCTACCAGCAGTTTATATCTCTGTGGGATTCTTGGGAACCAAGTGTGATATTTTTCAGAGGATGTATGCCCTTTTTTGAGTTTGAGAATAGGCAAAGGAAGGGTAGTTTAATCGTTTCCACGATGGTCAGTGAAGTTTAGGATTCATTTTGTTAGCTTGAATTTAAAAGCCAAAGTTTTCTAATAGTCTGTTGTGGGAGCATTTCCGTGAAAAATAGAGTGAGTTTAACTGATAGTATTGTTAATGTTCACAAAATTCTTAAAGCGGTGAGTAATTTCTAAGTCCAATCTGTACACCACACAAACGAGAATAACACTCAGTTTAAAACTTCATTAATTTTGGAAATGCAGGATGCAAAAAGTCATCCATAATCTGGAATATACTTATATGTGCTTAAGGTCTTTAGAGATTCCGGTGATAATATAATTCAAGTTAAAAGAGGGAGGGTTAAATAACATATCATTGGCTAAGAGAAGTCCACTTTCACATATTTACTATTCAGTTCTATTATTATTTTTACTTTTGTATTCTTCTGCCTTAAAGATTGAATACTATGACATTATTAGCACTAATGATTTATATGCTCATTGATCAGTTGTGTAGTTTACTTAATAAGCATTGTAAAGTGATTGAAAAATTAGTGTTTGTTTTGTTGATAATCTGGAATGACCAGGAAAATAGAAGACAGGAAGAAATTGTCGCATTTCTTTGTACTTTACTGAACTTGACTATGATTCATGTGTTAAATTTTAATGAGTGGGTAGAAATTTAAGGCCTCTGGCAGTCAATGGCAGAACTCCCAGACGGCGTTTGAACAACTGTTCATACTCTGACTACATGCTACTAGTTCACATTTCATCTGGATCAGGCACAGACGCGCGACATAGTGCTTGTGCCAGCTTCATGCTTTCTGCCAGCTTTATGCTTATATGCTTTAATCAGGTGCTAGAGGACAAGCCATACGTGGTCCTGCATAAAATAAGGTTGGCCCAGAGGAAACCCTGTTCTGGCATAAAGCCTGCTAAAGCAGAGTCAGGCTGTCAAAATTCTTAACACATATATGCAAAAGTGGTAGATCGTATGATTATGACATTTTTCATCCAGAATGAAGAATCCTAAACC